TCGCGAAAATTTCATGTAATAAGGTAGTTCATTGCTAGTACCACCCCCTATTAATGCCACTCTCAGCATTTTATCAAGTTATTTCCTTTGGGGAATAGAGGTGACGCAGTTGTGAGACCGCTAGCCTGCTAGCCTGCCAACGATGTGACCCGGGTTTAATTCCTGGACCCGGCGTCGTATTTGGGTTGATTTGTTGTTGGTTCTCCTCCTTGTTTCAATATTTTTTTTGGCCTTGCTTTATTAGTCTTCCTTCCTCCATAAAAACCAACACTCAAAATTCCAATTTGATCCGCCTCGATGCACGAACATACATTAACGAGTTTATGAGAGTCACTCCTTTTTTCGTGAGTGAATAAACATTACATTGACATCTTCGTTTAAAATTTGCCCCTAACAGGTTGTCGGTAACCATTTGAACTCCTTGGTGGAGAGAAGAACTATGAATGTATGGTGTCTCGCACAAGAACGCAGCACAAAGACCCCGGCAGGGCTAGAACCGGGACCGCTCGATCCCGCGAAGCGCAGCGCACAAACTATAGGCCATTGCTCCGTTTCCTAATGGATAATTCACAAGGGAATGGTTATGAAGCCCGGCAAAGTTATCTGTTTTATGTTTTTGTTGGCTTTTTTTCCTCATGGCAAAGACACAATAGCTGACTTCTGACCGAGGAGCAAACCTTTAGCGTCTATTAACAGCGCCTCAGACAAGTGAAAGACACATAGTTTTTGTATTATTTCTTTAAATAAACACAACCGAAGGAGAAGAAGCCTTTATCGGAGTAAACCCGGCCGGAGATCTTAAGTTAAGAACGTCCCACTAAACAAGTGAATAGATAAAATAGAACTACAGTAACTGCATGAAGTAAGCCAAATAAAGACAATTAAGAGGCAAAACTTAAAATTACCAACATACCATTTGACGTCGTTTAGAAGGCAACTGCGAAAGAACGTCTTTCTTTAATCGTCTGAAAATTGACCAAGATACAAAAAAGCTTGAATTAGAAATATGAGACATTTCATAAAATTTATCATACAGATTCAATATGAGTCAGCGTCTTGTCAAATGTAGACAAATGGTATCAGTAAAATGTAAGAAACTGTTCGTAAAAAAACCACAAAGGCTGTCACAACTCAACCATTTCGGAAAATTACTGCTGTCAAATTCCACTTTTCATTCTCCGTTTTGTTGAAGATTTTGTTTTGTTTTGTTCTTCTACTTTTATCGCACATTGCGCTTGTGTATCCGATAAAATGGCGCGAGCATTCTGTCCAGAGAGAGCTTGTTAGAGTTTTCATTCGAAAACGATAAAGTATCATCAAGTTGACTTCGTTTGGACAATGTTCCCTCCTCGGTATGACAAACTTGTCTGAAGAGCTAATTTTTGTGTAGTACTTTATATTCACCTTACAGGTTTCCTGAAATCACTTCTGAAGTAAGTAAGGTTAGGAATTCAAAATGAGGGTTGTACGATAAGGTAAGGTAACTTTATTTAGAGCCGTAAACGTAGGGAGTGGCTGCCCAATCTCCCGAGCCAGGGGCTCATGACAAAAACGCACGACTATTTACAATAACCCATCAGTTACCACTCACAATTACCATATACATTAAATTCGCTATGATAAATCCAGAATTAAAATATAAAATACTCCTAACTGCGACTAGTCCTAATATTAAAAATTTGAGTTAGTATATACAGTTCACTCACTGGCACCCTGCAAACTCCACACCATTCAAACGAGAACGAATACCTGATCATTAACTTTTCTTCCAATAACAACTGAAGTTCCTGCATATTGGATGCTCCTGAAAAATCCCAGCCGAAGCGATTCTGCAATAAAAATTGAAAAGAAAAAGATATAAAAAACGCGCCCTCCGGATTTCAAGCAGTCATGATCACATGTGCCTTGCCATTGGGCCGGTATGTCTGCACCAATTCTAGGAGTCTGATGTAGCTGATGGCTTGTCTGTACCAGCGCTTAAACTTGCCCTTCCAGCATTTAGTCAATGAAGTTCAATGAGCCTGTTTTTGCATCAGTTCAAACCCACGCATTACTCTAGCATAGGCGCTGGCAGGCAGAAGGAAAAGAGGCTGCCCTTGTGAAAAATGAATTGGAGGACAGTTAAGAGGAAGATGAAGGAGGCGGATCTGAAGCGACGCTCTGGACAAATTGAAAAACAGGAAAATACTTAAGAAACCGAACAGAAAATCCTGGTTCCGTTTTCTCGATAGATTGGTGCTGACTAAAAGGAGCGCGGTTTCTAGGAACCAGATGCTATACCCATTGCTGACTAGTAACCCCACATACAAGAAATCTGTCCATTTTTTCAAAAAGCGGAACGTCATTGACGTGGAAAAGTGGCTCACCTGATGTCCGGCACAGTAGCGAATTCCAAACTGATGAAAAGTGGGAAACAATCCTGGCTGAATAGCGCTGATTTGTGTGTAAAGTTCAAGTGGCCGTGAGAGGGCTGGTGTCCCAGATAACAGAATTACACGAGTGGCTGCCTAAAAATGATTAAGACAGATAAATCAACAACACCAACTAAAACACATTTGTTGCTTATAAAGTTGCATCAAAACATATCATTTTTTCTGTTTGCTCTTTCCTTGGGTAGAAAACCATTCATTAACACACGTATCTCTTTTTAAGTGGGACATGTATTGCTTGTCACAGAGTTAAATTATCTTTATGAACATTGAATAACGGTATTGTTACTAAGATTGAAGACATCCCTTTAGGAAGAGTGGCTGTAGAACTCGTAGCATCATCATCTTCAGGTACATAAAGGGAAAGAAATTCTTGTCAGTACCTTCAACAGGGGCAAGGCAGCTTGAGTTCTTGATGCTTTGTAGTTCTTGATAAAATGACATTCATCCTGACAAAAAGCAAATTTTAAGGTACGGAGATGAATAAATAAGCAAGGCCCAGAAAGAAAAGAGACTAACAGGCAATGTGCTTAGAGCAAGAATTAGCAAATGAAAACAAAATAAACATACAAGAAAGTTTTCTTGACGATATTTGATCACATAAACATCTGGCAAGAAAAAAACAGAAAGGAAATAATGGCGACAAATACCCGACGTTAACCTAATTGTATGACTGTTACAAAACTAGGAAGTGAAACAAGTTCAAAAAGAGAAACCAAATCAGGGTTCGACTTTCAGGAAAAAAGCTTGAGCCAGCTGGCTCCTAAGTTTTTCAGATTTAGTCACCAGCAAAAGTATTTCATTTGAAAGCGTGACACGTGAATCGTCAGTGAAAAAAAATTGGTCGCATTGTAATTGGCGATTCCAGCGGTCGCAACGTTGAGCTCTGCAAATAATCAGACTTACTGCTATGATGATCCTAAACTGTTTTTTCTTCAAATCCTCCATACATTTAGACAAGAGATCATAACTGATAATGTTAATAAGCCCAGCTGTAGCGCTGTCCTTCCCCGTAAGGACAACATTAACGTAGTCTACGTCCACAGAGGGAAGCCATTTGATGAAAGCCTATGGTTGCAAACAATGAAAAAGAGAAGAGCGAGTATAAACAAAAACCAGTATCACAATTCCTAATCGTAATATTACTAAAGTTATTAATGGAATTTTTTTGTCCCTGGAAGTTTACTCTGAGGAAAATTATCAATAGAAAAACAATTTTTTTTCTAAATTTTTGATAGGGAAAATAATGGCTGCACACCAATCTTACACTGTAAAGGCTGCTATTCATTCTCTGAATGCTATCTTATTATCATTTTTACACTCAGTCTGACCTTTGGAATATGGGACTGGAACACAGGAAATATGATTGTGTTCAGTTGTTGCAAGTTGCGCTCTGCAAGTTGTGGAGGGTGTGGCATTTGCAGTACTTTGGATTTACTGGTCATGGTGACTGGGCTCAAATGCTGACTGGCGTCATTTTTTGTGTTCTTGGGCAAGACACTTAAATAATGTATTGGCTTTTCTGTAAAAATTTTGTAAATTATTATTATGACTTATTAATTGAGCCATTCTGGCATAACCCTGGGTCCAGACTTTTGAGTGCCACAAGGCAGACTTCGCAGTTTAAAAGCAGCTGGTGAATTAAAACCTTTTTCATTCAGACACATTTAAGGTCACTTAAATCAATTTGTAACTTTAGAACATCACAATTCACTGTGCATGTTTATCAGCATTAAGACCTTTGGAACAAATAATCTGTTAACTACCTGCTGCCAAGTTATTCTGAGTGAGGATGGTGTAATAACGAGAAGAGGCCATTCAGTGCGATAGTAACTTGCAACACAGATGGCTTGAATTGTCTTGCCCAGACCCATGTCATCAGCTATCAACACTCGGCCATCATGACGGATGCTAAAACTAAACAACAGAATAACATTAATTGTTATTTTTTAGGCCCCACCTCAATTCTCAAGTTAGCAACCTAGATGAAAAAGATTCCCTGTCAGCTTATTAACTGAGTGGTGATCCAGACAAGAAAAAGTTTAGCTAGCCTGCAGAGCAGCTGCTTGAGGAATAATTGGAAAGGAGTTGGAGTGGTACTCAAAAACAACAATGTCCTTGCGGTACAGATTTCACACTGCTCCAACTTATGCCCCTCTATTCATAAGCTATAGTTCTACTACAGTATAAAACTTAAGTGTCAAACCCTGTTAATACGTAACACCTACATGTATGAACCTCCAAAAATTATTATTGTTGTATAAAAAGTGTGGTCATATTAAAAGATTTATTTACTAAAATAGGAAAATGACTGACTACATGTAGGTGTTTTTCTCAGGCTGTAATATAGCATGTTGGTAAGATTATTAACTGGGTTAAGTGTCCATTCAAAAAGGTTGTCAGTTTTGAGCAAGTTTTCTGTTCCTACCATTTATTTTTAAGTCACATACAAACTAGCTAAAAGCAAGGGGAAATAAATTATTAGCTCATCTTCAATAACACAGACCTGACTCCTTCTTGTTGAAA